GAGTTACACAGAAACAAAAGAGTTACACGTAAGTTTTTGGCAAACTAATATAAATACTAACTCGGTTGCAGAACAGGAACTGTTATTGAACTTTAGGTAGATCAAGGCTAGTGTTTGACACTGTGTCCTTTAAGACAAATTTTGCCCCCCACACACAGTACTTATGGAATACCGAGCGTCTGCCTCCTAGGATACAATGATTTTTACACGAACAGAAGTAGCACTCCAATTTTGCTCGTCAAGTGAACCAAAATCGTGTTCTGTACTCTCTAAATACACTGTCTTAATGCCAAAAAATGATATGTTAAAATGTATGTCTTAATGTCGAAAAAATAGACTGAATGAATGAATTAATTAGAATGATAATGAGTCTGGGTATTTATAGACACTTTGGTGACTTTCTGGACAGTCACCAAACTATAAGACAGAACCCAGAATAACAAGACACAACAGTCAGTAGACACCTTGGGTAACTGTTCTCCCACAATTTAATTCGGTCTGGAGGAAGGCAACAAACCCGACCCAGTGCGATCCAACGGGTACCAAAATTAAATTTCGGGTTAAAACATTTATGCCCAATTATTAAATGAATTTTCTCCAAAAAATAAGGCTTTGTCTAACCCACACCCAAACCTGAGCCCGAGCCTGGCCGGGTCTTGGTGAGGTGGGCGGCGCGCGCGCATGTGTGGTTGAACCGAAGACATGTAGGTGCTCGCTCCGCTCATAAAACTGTGATACCCCTTGGGGCTCAATCCCATAAAACAAAATTGACCTATATATACCCATGTTGAATTTTTTCCTCAACCAATGTGGGATTGGTGTCACATCTCACATTGCACTTCATTTATTTCCATATTTCAAGAGGGTCACTTTGAAGCCTATTTTCTCTTTTATTTCTTACTTGATTGGAGCAAGTGAATATACCATGATATTCTCCTCACAGAGTAGAATATGAACCCATGAAATTTTATTCAAAATTACAATCGGGTCCTACTTTAATTTAGGCTCAAAGTCGACCAAAAACTCAGTTTTTACACTTAAAAAACTGTTTTGGTCCAACATACAGAACTCTACTATATTATTTTTTATCTCTCCTTATTCCCAATCAAACCATGGGAGAGATTAACTTAGACGATTATATATATATATATATATATATATATAAGGAAAAAAAAATATATATATATATAAGGAAAATATATCTAAAATCTATTAAAACTATAATAACAAAGAATATCTCTAATAAAATATAAGTTCATTAACATATGTTGTCATATTTATCTATCTATATATATCTATACCGATATCTATATCTGCATATATAATCCAATCTATATAATAAGTAGTTCAAACACGTAATTTAAAATTAACAAAATAATAATACAATAACAAGGATTATTGCTAACAAAATATAAGCTTATTAACATGTCATCCTATATTTTATATTATAGATTATATTATATAATCTATAATATAAAACAACACAAACTTCAATAAGTCCATCCGACAGTCTCAAATAGACTCATCCAGCAGTCGTCAATATCTCTCTCAAAACCATTCACATTGAATTCTCCCCCTCCAATTCCATCACTGCTCACTTACGTTGTGGCTTGTATCGCTTGACGATTATTGATCCGATAGTCTTAATGCTAAATTCACTCTCCCAATTTTTTGAACAAGATTTTTATTCCTTCCACAATTCTAAGACTTCGATATCTTTGATAACTCTCTCTCTCTATCTCATGCTACACATTAATTAGGTCGTCAATTATGATTCTATATAATTACGAATTATTTTTAAAATTTTTAAATAAACAAATAGACCTTAAACACAAATTTTTTTGCATATAGGTTATAATTTGTATTGAAATAAAAATATTATAATATTTGAATAGTATAACACGCTAATAATATATATATATCTATATATATATATAATTTGTGATATATCTATACTAGTTATAACCCGTGTCTGAAGGCATGATAAAATATAAAATTCGATCGTCCAAAATATTCATCTCACTATATTAAATATTTTCAACATGTGTATACTATCGTATATGAATAATGTTTGAAATAAAAATTATATTAGCTACAAATTAATCAGATATTAAATGATTAAACATATGATAGAAAATGAGTGATGTGATGGTTTAGGAGAAAAAATATAAATGATTAAACATATAATAGAAATGAATGATGTGATATTTTTAGGGGGGAAAATATGTAGGGGATAAAAATTCAAGTTACTATGTGTTTTATTATATAGATATTAAGGTTGTCTTGGATTTTTTGTGGGTCAAATTGTTTTAAGATTATTGATTAAATGATCAAAACTACTCCTCCAAATTTTTTTTCCGCACAAAAAATACAAGAATCCTTTCATTTTACTCGATTATTGGTTTGAAGTGATTATGATTAGGATTTGAATTGAGCTGAATTTGATTGTCGAGTAAAACGTATATATTTTTGTGTTAAACTTAACTTTGCTTGAATTTTATAAGTATTCAAATTGAAGTCAAATTGAAATTGATTGTAAAAATAATAAAGAATAATTAAATTAAAAAAAATTATGGTGTCACTATGAATGAGAATATATAAGAATTAGTTTGTAGATTTAAGATAGAAGTGTTAATTGAGTCGAACTTAAATTCAATTCTCGATTTAACATAATTATGATTGAGACTCGAATTGAGCTGAATTTGACTATCATGTATAAAGTACAAATTCTTACTTAAACTTAAATTCGATTGAATTTTACAAATATTTAAGTTGAACTAAAATATAAACTGATTTTAATTTTTTAACAAATTTTTACATTTACTAGCATTCACGTGAAACTTTTGAATGTTTTCATCACAAAAGTAACACAAACTCACATTGAAAAAATAGTGCAGAGATAATGTTATAAACTTTATATAGAAACCTGTAGAAACACAAATAATTTTAATTTTATCAAATTTGAGATAAAGTTTATTAAAAATGTTAAAATCGTAGATGTTTGAACAATAATAATTATATTTTCTCAGATTTTTGAATTAATATGTTATAGTAATTGTAGCGTGACTTTCATTATATAAAAGTTTAATTATATATGTTCTTTGCATATAAATTGAAACATATCAATTTGATCATTGTATTGTTCAAATTATGTTAGGTGATGTTTGATAAAACTGAAAACTGAAGCCTGAATGTTGAATTTATGAACTGCTTGGTATTCACTGAAATTTAAGTACTGAATCGAACTAAATTATTTGATAACTACACAGAGTTGACGTCTGAAAATAAATTAATTTTTTAGTTTTACCCTTCCACTTTTTAATTTAAAAATATTTATAAAATATGTCATAACATAAATTATAATAACTATTATTATATTGTAGTCTACATTTAACAAATATTTGATCAAAATAAATAAATAAATAACATCTGAATAACACAATAAGTAAACAATAACAAATTGAATAACATAATAAGTGAACAATAACATCTGATAAAAAGAAGAACAATAACTAATAAATAATCAAATAATATTGAAAAAATACAATAAATTAAATTTTATTAATAATATGTGTGTGCGTCGTGTGTTAGAGAAGACAAGGGAAAGAAAAAAAAAAGATCAACAAGGAGAATATATAGGTTAAAAGTTTTGAAGAGAAGACAAATTAGAGTTTTAATAGAATTGCAAAATATTTCGGGATATAATTGTCATATTGTAAATATTATTAAATATGATTTTGCTGAACACTTTCAGTTTTCAGAATTAAGTAAGAGATACTTAATATTGTAGCCTATTTTTAAAGAGTACTTAACATATTAAGAGAGTTTAAATTTTGGTAATCAAACGGACTTAATTAATAAGTGCTGAATACATTAATTTTAAGTGCTAAATTTGGGTTAACAAATACACCCTTAGACATTGTCTTTATTTATGAACAAATATTTGTAATTTTTTACAAGTAATTAGTGCTTTCAGGTACGGACAATTACTAGTACTAATATATATTATATATTAAGTAGTATAATTTTAACTCAATTTATTAAGCCAATTTGTTGATCTAATCAATCATTACTTTGGGATTGACAGTGAGTCTTAATAATGATTGAAACCTACAAAAAATTAATTTGTACATTATCAACAATAATTTATCCTATTTATATTTAATATTTTAATCACATTTAAAAAACACTTGCTTTATATGGGACTCCCGCAATAATATTTGCTTGGTATTATGGTAGTAAAAAGTTGGTCGGAAACTCCCGCAATAATATTTACTCAGTATTATGGTAGTAAAAAATTGGTCGGATTCTTATCCTATGTGTATTTTTTATGTTTTCATGTCATGTTTATTTTTTGAAGAGTAATGTTACATGAACTTAAAAAGTAGACTTAAAAACTAGACTTTATAATCTCAACTATTGATTTCACTGTGGGCCCTAACATTTATTGGGACATACTATCTATTAAATAGTTGAAATTATCAAGTCTAATTTTTAAATTTAATTTTTAAATCCATGTAGTAGGACTCTTTTTTGAATCAAAGTTGCATGTAAAATTTATGGAGCCTGTAGTAAGAGTATCGCGCCCCATTATTACCCTTTTGCTATTAGTTTTTTATTACTCACCAACGGTAACTCTCGAACAGTCCCGACGGCTAACAAATGAACCCTGTGGCCATTTTAGAAACAAAATCAAAGCCTTTGGATTAGCTAGAGATCTAACGGTTATCATTTCATATGCAATAAGACCGTTGGAGTCTCGTCTCCAGCTTCAAATAGGTTTGTCCCCAAAATTCCTTATTTCTCATAACAGTAATGATACACTGACCAGAGAGAGAGAGAGAGAAAGAGAGAGAGGGGTGAAGCCATCACAGACCAGAACAGGAAATATCGAGAGAGAGAGAGACGTAGCCATCACAGTCCAGAAGAAGGGAAGAGTTTGTAGTGCGTCTCTGTCTCCGAGATTTGGACGAGTTCTTGGGAAGATTCAAGGTTTTGAGATGGATTCGAGACCCGTTGTTCAACAGCAAAACAGAGGTATTGCAAGATCTCTCTCTCTCTCTCTCTCTCTCTCGTTTTTGGTTTTTAATGTGGTCTTTGTTCTTGATCTGATAGTGGGTCATTGACTTTCTTGTTCAATCTGTGTGTGTGTGTGTGTGTTTTAATGGGTTGCATATTTGTGATGTTTGATTTGGTATTTCCTAGCATTTCAAGGTCTCTAAGTTTTCAGATATCAAGGTTCTTGGCATTTTGAATATTTGGGTTTGCGTCTTCTTTCTTTTTCCGTTCTTCAAGCTTGTGGGTGTGTGATTTACACCCAATACAATTGTATTGTTTGTTATGGCCTTTCTGGGTAATTTTTTTTGGGTTGAAAGTGTATGTTTTCTTCTATTTTAAAACAAGTTCACTCTTTTTCGATTTCTCTTTCTGGTTTTTTGAGGATTTTACCCTGTTTAAAGCAAGTGGGTATCCTTCTATTTGATTCTGGTATCTGGTATTTGATTTTCCTGCCTAATCTTTAGAAAATTTTATTCCGTTTCTGTTTTGTGTTGATATGCTTTGTTGTAATCGGTGACTCGAATGCTTTTATTTCTGATGATGCACTAAATGGTTTGCACACAACCTGTCAAATAAGCAGTATAAAATGCAGTAAAATAAGTACAGGGAGATAAAAACAAGGTTTATAGTGGTTCAATCAACATGACCTATGTCTATTTTATTAACTCAGGTGTGTAGGGAGAGCAAAAAATTACAAGCTTTGAGAGGGTGAGGAGAGAATTATGTCCAAATGAGTGTGTTAAATTTACCCTTGGTATAAATAGAAGTTTTTCCCTATTCCACCCAATTCCATAGGCGCCGACGTGGGGGTGCTTGGGCCGTCCGCCGTCACCGTCGTTGCTCGCACGCCCATGGGGCTGAATGGCGCTGTCGTTCATGCTTCGTTGATTGGAGACCATGATGCCCAAGGAGTTGATTTTGGGCAGATTAGGCGCGTTATCCGCGCAGTGGAGCAAAGAGGCGAGCGGCTCAGCCTGGTGGGCGAGTAGGCTGGTTTGCACGAGCTGCTCATTGCCCATGGTTTAGGCGTGCATCAAGAGGGGCGAGCAGGCTGGTTTGGGCTGGGCGCCTACTCAGGTAACCTAAGCGAGCAAATCAGAGGGAAAAGAGTTGTGCAAGCACCAATAGGCGCTGATCTGGACTGCCTGGGTGAGCTACCTGGGCACGCGGACAGCCTAGGCGAGCTGCCAAGGCGCGCGAGGTGGAGGGGGCGATGGGCCGGTTCCTTCAAGTGAAACTCCTCAAAGTCTGATTCCTCAGGATCTCCTTGGTGGTGGCTCAGACAACTCTTTCCGTCCTCACAACAAAAAAAAACCGAGGAAAACAAGCTCCTGAACTCCTTCTGCTTTGACCTTCAAATATAGCAGCCTCATTCCAGCTCCGCGTACCCGCAGGCAAACGCACAAGCAGAAGTCATAATGAGAACGGTGCTACGCAACCTAAAGACAAGACTCGAAAAAGCTAAGGGTCTTTGGGTTGACGAGCTCTCCAAGAGTATTATGGGCCTACCGAACTACACCAAGAACTCTAATTGGAGAAACCCCCTTCTCCCTCGCCTTTTGGAACTGAGACGGTTATCCCTGTGGAGATCGGGGTGCATTCTTTAAGAATCCAACACCACAACTCCATCACCGACGAGGAAGGACTCCATCAATCTTGACTTGATAGAGGAGGCAAAGGAGATGGTTGTGGTCTGTAATACGGAGTACAAGCACTGCATGACAAAGTACTACTACTCGAGGGTGAAGCATTCTTTCCAATCAGGAGAGCTCAAAAAAGTGATCCTCGCCATAAAGATTCATGCGAAGCAAAGCTAGGACCAAACAAGGAAGTACCCTACCTCATAACATGGAATGCTGAGCACTTGAAGACGTACTATCAGTGACACATTAAGAGAGTAGAAAAATTGGGGACTTGGTTTTACTTTTTGTACTTTTTGGGGGGTTGTTACCCAATATTGCTTGACATGAGTAGTGAATAATAAATAAAATTTTCTAAATTTATTCCAAAAAGATCTTTGCATTTTTGTATTCAACTTCAAAGGAGCATCAGTGGCAAAAATCACTTTTACAAAAGTAGGGCTACAAAATGATTTCTTAAAAAAAAAAAAAAAATCAAAAGTCCCTAGTACTCTAACTACTCTCTCATGGTCATCGTCGTCCTCCTCCTCACCCTCGGCATTGTTAGAGCAGGTGCCTCAGTTGGAAAGTAGTAGAAATCTTTCCCTGGAGCTCCTCATAATTGTCAATGAAAACATCTACAAGGCCATTCTCCAGGTCCACCTCTTCCTCTGCGGTAACCTCTCTTTGAACATGGCCCTTTCGCGGGTCTCTGCAAGCTCAGCCTCACTGATCGTGGCCTTCTCAAGGGCCTCCACAAGCTCAGCCTCCCTGAGCGCGTCCTTCTCACAGGTCGTCAAAAGCTGAGACTCAAGCTTAGTTGCCTTCTCACAGGCCTCCACAAGCTCAGTCTCAAGCCTAGTCGCCCTCTTACAAGTCACCATAAGATCAATATCAGAAGCCCTGCCAGTAGCTTCAAGCTCAGCAATCTTCCTCTGAGCAGCAAAAAGCTCATTTTGCACAACATCATGATCCTGCTTCAACTTGTCGTGAGAATGACCAAAGGAATTTCAGAAGCCTAAGGAGGGACTGGAGAAAGGGAGACAACAAACCCTTACTTGAGCCAGACCTTCCAAAAAAGAGCTAACCATTCCCTTGGTGCCCAGAGCACTAATCTTGCAAATATCTTTGGGAAACACAAACCTCCCAAGTCGATCCTTTATAACTTGCGCGTTACCCAACATGGAGCTGATTTGAATCGGTGCCCTTCTGGAAGTTCCCACAGCAAGGGAAACTCTGAAATAGGATATGCAATTGAAGGAGTTTTTGACTGAGGAGGCACCATTGGAGGGGTCACTTGATGGGAGCGCGCCCGGGGTACCACCGAAGGGGTTGCTTGAGCTAGAGTGCAGGGTGCTCTTCAGGAAGCAAAACCCCATTATAATATAATAGGGCTTTGGAATCAACAGCTTTTGGTTCATTTCAGTACCCCGAACGAGAGTCGACTTATTTCATACTGAACCTGACTTTTCACCCGGTAAGGTGGTCCACCCACACTTGAGTGAGCTATCAGGCTCCACACATTTGCCATTGTCACTACTGGCAACCACTTCGTTCGGAAACTCAATCAAAAGACGAACATTCTCTGGCTTCATTGAATGTCACACTTTTGAAAGCGAGTCAAGCTTGGAGAGGACAACAAATGAGAAAAGATTAAGGAAGTCGAGCTAGTCAATCCACACTTGCCTTTCTTTTCTCCGAAAGCACCATTAGTGACGATTTTGTGCTTTCTAGATGTGGCTAGCAAGGGAAACTCTGAAATAGGAGATGCAATTGAAGGAGTTTTTGACTAAGGAGGCACCATTGGAGGGGTCATTTGATGGGAGCGTGCCCGAGGTACCATCGAAGGGGTTGCTTGAGGAGAGCACACCTCGGGTGGCACCGTTGGAGAGGTGTTGTCCGAGGTGTAACATACTTTTTCTTTTCAAAGTCGGTCCCGGAGATGATTTATTGTTCCCACCATTGTCTTTGGACATAAGGACTCCAAAATCTTTTTCAGTATGGCCCTCTCATAGCCTGCAACTACTCTTGGTCCTTAGAAAGCACAAGAGGATCTACAAGAAGAATGATGAGTAAAAAAAAAAAAAAAGGAGACAAAGTATACCCCATCCTCTTGGTACCAAAAAGTCCTATCGGCCTCTGTAGTGCATTCTCTGTCGAAAAATATAAAGTGAGATTTTCAACTATGACAGTTGGAGCGCAGTCCAGTCCAGTGATCATCTTGTCTCTCGTGGTAAAACAATATTAGAAAGCACAATAAAACCCCGGTGTGAGTGAAAAATAATGGAGAATGCGACAAATAAAAGGAGACATGGGGAACCTGAGCCCAGCCTCAAGCATCTCCTCATAAATGACAATGCCCCCAAAAGAGTCATTGAGGCGGGCTCACTCATCTCAGCTTGATGGCACAACACAGTCGGAGGAATATGATAAGCAAAAACAATCTTCATACTATCATCATCAAGAGCTATTTTGCCTCGGTGTATGCACAAATTAGTTTGCACACAACCTGCCAAGTAAACATTATAAAATATAGTAAAATAAGTAGAGGGAGAAAGAGAAAGAGAGAGAGAGAGACAAGGTTTATAGTGGTTTGGCCAACATTACCTGCATCCACTTTGGACCCATCGTCATCAAGAACTATTTTTGCCTCGGTGTATGCACAAATTGGTTTGCACACAACCTGTCAAGTAAGTAGTATAAAATGCAGTAAAATAAGGAGGGAGAGAGAGAGAAGGTTTATAGTAGTTTGTTCAATATGACATACATCCACTTTGAATGGCAAGGGTCGTCGGTATTTTATTAACTCAAGTGTGTAGGGAGAGCAAAAAATTACAAGCTTTGAGAGGGGTGAGAGAATAATGCCTGAATGAGTGTGTTGCCCCCCAAGTGTAGGCGGGGCTTATATTTTATAGTCGCCACATAACGCATAGCAATTGAATAGCTAGTCTGATGGTCATAACGAATTGGGGTGAGTTAATGGTAATTAAATAATTGATCCGGCGGAGGTAGCGACCTCTTTTTAACGGGCGAGGCAGTTACAATATTCTCCATAAGACTCGGTCAAAAGATAAGGTAAGGTTTGACTCTTTCCAAGGTGGCTAGGATGAGGCTCTTGGATGACCCTTACTCCAAGGTGGCTAGAAGAAAGATGACCTTGCGTGCTCCCTGCTGATGTAGATCTCTTAGAATTGGGCATTTAGCTCAGACCGGGCTTATAACATGAGTTGGGCCTTTGGACTTGGCCCATTATTTGCCCCCCAATGCTCTGTGTCTAACGAAACTTAGAAATGAAGGTATTCAGTTTGAGTTTGAATTTTTAGCTGACTGGGGAGGCCAAAATCTGTGCTTCTAAGCCTTTTTTGTAGGGCTCGCTGAGAGCTTTTGATTTGATATATTATGGACCCCATTTAGAGTAACGGAGCGAGAGTTGCAGTCAAAATAGCGAGCAGGAGCTGGGGGCACAATTGTGGGCGAGCAGACAACTTCTGGGTGAGCACATAGTGTCTTAGGCAAGCAAGCAACTGAAAAAAAAATTAAAAAGAAACTTTGGGAGGCCAAAACATCTATTTCTGGGCCTTTTTGGACTTTTTACAGAGTCTTTCACTGCCTAAGGCAGTGAGTTTTGTAAGATTCGTCGAGAGTTTCGATTTATATATAATAAGCCTTGTTTGAAGTTTCGGATCAAAAGTTACGGTCAAAATAGCGTGCAACCCTTGTTAAATTTGAATTTTTTGAAAATTCCTCTTGATCGGCGACCTCTTCCCTCCCAATAGACTCCTTTTGCTTGTAGGATTCCCTTGACTATACAAATTCCCCTCATTCCTTTCCTTTTTTGGATTCTTGAAGAGCACTAGGTTGTTGTTTGGGGCTTTTTTGTCTTTTCCTTCCTTCAATAGGATTTAGAAAACCCTTGGTATAAATATAAGCTTTTTCCCCATTCCGTCCATTCCATAGAAACTTTGAGAGAGTGAAGGAAAGCTTTATTTTCCAAAAATCTTTCAAGGAGCTTCTTGAGTTGTGCTTGGAATCCATGGCAAGTGAAGGAGATAATCAAGAGGTTGTAATGATCGAAAGAGTCAAGAGGAGGAGAAGGTAGGTGCCGGTGTCGAGGTGCTTGGGGCGTCTGCCGCCGCCTTTGCTCACGCGCCCATGGAATTGAATGGTGCTTCCCTACATGATTGGAGACTATGATGGAGACAACTTGGGCGTCCAAGGCGCTGATTTGGGGCAGATTGGGCGCGCGTTATCCACGCGGTGGAGCAAAGGGCGAGCGGCTCAGCCTGGTAGGCGAGCAAGCCATAAGGGGCCAGGCGTGCATCAAGAGGGGCGAACAGGCTAGTTTGGGCGTCTACTCAAGCAGCCTAAGC